TTTTTTTTTTTTTTTTGAGTCAGAGTCTTACTCTGTTGCCCAGGATAGAGTAATATGGCATCAGCCTAGCTCACAGCAATCTTGAATTCCTGGGTTCAAGCAATCCGCCTGCCTCAACCTCCCAGGTAGCTGGGACTACAGGCACCAGCCACAATGTCCAGCTCATTTTCTATTTTTAGTAGAGACAGAGTCTCGCTCTTGCTCAGGCTGGTCACAAACTCCTAAATTCAAGTCATCTTCCTTCCTTGGCCTCCCAGAGTACTAAGATTACAGGTGTGAACCACCTCACCCAGCCAGTGGCAAGAATTCTTACTTTGCTTTAGAAATAAGACCTTAGTTTTCCCAGTTTACAGAGGCAAACCCTCAGAGTTATTTAGGGATCTTCATAGTTCTTCCCCATCTCTCTGATGAGTGGATCCATGCCAAGGATATGCCATTCCACCTGTGACCTGTACTTGGGACTGAGTCAGTCCCATAGCTCCCCTATACCGCTGCCCTGGGAGGTCCTCTGAGGTTCCAATGGGCAGGAAAATAATCCTTTTCCTTCCATAGGAGCTCCTGGAGGCTTAGTGCCTGGTGGGCCAGGCTTTGTCCCAGGAGCTGGTATCCCAGGAGTTGGTGTCCCAGGAGCTGGCATCCCAGGAGTTGGTGTCCCAGGAGCTGGCATCCCAGGAGTTGGTGTCCCAGGAGCTGGCATCCCAGGAGTTGGTGTCCCAGGTGCTGGGGTTCCAGGAGTTGGTGAGCTGGGCTCTGTGTGTGTGCATGTGTAAGAGAGAAATATTGAGACTATTTCCAAAATTTTGAATTCTCTCTAACACCTCACCCATCTGTCCAAACTCTTGGCCTCATCCGCCACCCTTGGGCTATAACAGCCTCCCAATTAGCTGCTACCAGCACCACCTTCTCCAACTGAACTTCTGGCTGTCAGTGTGCTCCCAGAGACAAGATTGTGTCTTTTTTTTTTTTTTTATGAGACAGAGTTTCACTATGTTGCCCTTGGTAGAGTGCTGTGGTGTCACTGCTCACAGCAACCTCAAACTCTTGGGCTTAAGTGATTCTCTTGCCTCAGCCTCTGGAGTACCTGGGACTACAGGCACTCACCACAATGCCCAGCTATTTTTTTGTTGCAGTTGTCATTGTTGTTTAGCAGGCCAGGTCAGGTTTGAACCCACCACCTTCAGTGCACGTGGCTGGCACCGTACCCACTGTGCTATGAGTGCCAAGCCTAGACTGTGTCTTTTTCATCTCTTTGTTGCCAGCCCTTAGCTGAGTAGGTACTCAGTCTATGGTGGATAGATGGGTGGGTTGGTAGTTGGATGGATGGATGGTAGGTGGACATGTGGATGGGTGGGTTGGTAGTTGGATGGATGGATGGTAGGTGGACATGTGGATGGGTGGGTGGGTGGATAAATGGGCAGATGGAAAACTGGGTAGGCAGGTGAGTGGCCAAGTGGTAGACTGGTGGGTAAGGGAGTAGGCAGCTGGGTGGGTAGGTAGACAGATACAAGGATGGGTGGATACATGGAGAGATGAGTAAAAAGGTGAATGGATAGATGAAGACTGATGGGCAGGCAGGTAGAGACTAGATAAGTGGTTAGAAGGATGGACAGATGGGTGGATGGATGGGCGAATGGCCACACAGGTGGATGAGCAGATTAATCGATGGGTGGTGGGAGGATGAACAGGCAAATGCAAAAAAGATGCTTGGTTAGATGGTTAGGTGAGTGGATAAATAGGCAGATGGGTGGATAAGTTGATGGATAAGTGAGCGCATGGATAGACAGAGAATTGGGTGGTTAGGTGGGTGGATTAAGGTCCAATGATAGACAAATGGACAGACATAGAAGTGGGTCAGTGGGTGAATGGAGAAATGAGTGTGTGAATGCATGGGTGGTCAACTCTGCATTGGCCCGATAGACAGACTGTAGACTGACAGACAGGTGGGTTGGACAGAGGGATCTATATTGAGCATCTCTTGTCCATTGTCCCCTGAGCATTTGTGTTCCACTTGGTCTCTTCAGGGGTTGTGTCACCAGCTGCAGCTGCCAAAGCAGCCAAATATGGTGAGTGTTGTGCTGATAGCTTTGCTCTACCCTATTCTGGCTTTACCTGAGAACTAAAAGACTCTCATCTAGTTACCCAGAGAATGAAAACAACCTGCCCAAGGTCACAGACCAAGTCACTAGCAGAGCTGGGACTTGGATCTGGGGACCCCAGGACAATGTCTCCCCAGTTGTTTCCCATCGTAAAGCCATGGGGCTGAATGGTGGGAGACTGCCTGGATTGGACACAATGACCCTGACCCTCCCTCCTCTGTCCAGGGCCCTCCCAGAGGAAACCAAGCCTGGCTGGGGATGTGGAATCTGCCAACAGCCTCCCCACATCAATCAATGGGGTCCTTCTCCCAGTGCCCCAAGAAGAGAGGGGCTAAGGGAAGAGTGAAGGGTATTGGTAAAGGCTTCACAGCAGAGGCTGCCTGGGGATATGTGATTCCCTGTCCATGGACCAGGCTTTGGGAAAGCTTATATCCTCTTTTGCAGCCAAGCAGTGCCCCCAGAACCCTCCCAGCCTCTCTCATTGAGTTCCCTTCCACTTGATTCTCTTCCCTCTGCAGGAGTGGGAGTTGGAGGCCTTCCCACTTATGGGGTTGGTGTCGGGGGGCTTCCTGGCTATGGTGTTGGAGGTGTCCCCGGAGTTGGAGGTGTCCCTGGAGTCGGAGGTGTCCCCGGAGCTGGCCTTACCCGTAAGCCTTAGTAACACATCTGTAGGGGTTGGTTGAGAAGGGGTGGGGGCTACTTTTCTGTTGGGCTATACAGGGGGAGCAGGGGCACCTCCCTTTCACGTACTCAGGGAGGAGTTAGGGAAAGGACAAGGAGGCCTTTGGTGCCTTCCTGGGTAGGAGAGCAGGAAGCATGGCTGAGACCCAGGCAAGGCTTCTGAGGGTCTCTTTCTTTCTTGTTTCATTGAAGCTGAAGCCCAGGCTGCAGCTGCTGCCAAAGCTGCCAAGTACGGTGAGTGCCCTGCCTGCCTGTCCCCAGGTCCTGCTCTCCCAAGGAGCTCAGAACAGCCAGTCCCCTCCAGCAAACTCACACTCAGGCCTCCAGAGCTAAAAGGTCCTGGGCTAAGATGGCAAGTCCTCCACCCCTGTCTCTCAAAGCCACACTCTACTCCATTGCCCTTATCAATTGCGTACCCTTAGGGCTACTGGTGACCTGCTCACCCCACCCCAAACCTGAGAGTTAAAGGTGCCAGATAGCTGTCTGCACCTTCCTCCCACTCTCTCACTTCGCCCCATACCCATTCCCCCATTGGGGGTCCTGGGAAGAGTGAGGCTGGACATTCTTCTCTCTTCTAGGTGCTGCAGGGGCAGCAGCCCTGGGAGGGCTGGTGCCAGGTGCAGTCCCAGGTGTGCCAGGTGCAGTCCCAGGTGTGCCAGGTGCAGTTCCAGGTGTGCCGGGCACAGGAGGAGTACCAGGTGAGTTGTGTCCCCAGCCCCAGGACAGGTTTGGCTTGTCTTGTGGAAGGGTCAACTGTACCAGTTTACAGATAGGAAGACTGAGCCCAGAGATGGGGAAGAGAGAGAGCAGTTTCCCCCTAGACTAATCTGGAGGGAAGAGCCCTCCATTCGCAGGGGTCCTCTTGCTGCTGGAGGAGGCTTAGGGACATCAGCTGGCTGGGTGTCAGAGCTCTGCTCTACCGGGGTCTGGTGTTCTCATTTACTCCCAGGGACCTTTCAGATTCCTCCTCAGGCAGGAGAACCTGCCATTCTTTAGTTCTCCTGTGTTCTTTATCCTCCATCAGTCACGTGCCAAGGAGAAGAGGTTAAGTGGCCATGACATTAAGTGAGAACCTTCCCTGGTTGTTTTCCCATCATAAGGTTTCTCTTCTGCATTCCTTCTTTCTGGGAGAAAATTCCCCTTCTGGATTTCCTCCAATAGTTCTGGATATAGGTGCTATTCGTATTTTTAAAAAATTAACAGCACCCTAAGCAGAGGGCACCACAGCTGTTTTGGACCTAGTGAGGGATAGGATCCTCATGCCCCCAACAGTCACAGCCCTGGGCTCCCCTCCTCATAGCCCAGGGATAGAATTTCAGCCCAAGGCTAAAGCTGCTTCTCAAGTCTGTACTGAAGCCCAGAGACGGACAGGGACATTACCAGGTGGCAGTGGGTGATCTCAGAGCCAGGCCTGAGACCCAGTTGAGCTCTGTGTGCTCCCTCTGCCTCCAGTGCAAGGAGACAGTGCACAGAGAGGGACTGTAGGAGGGAGAAAGCTCCTTAGAGGTAGGTTCTGGGATGGCTTCCACAGTTAAGCATGGGAAGTGTTGGGGGATTGCCGGAGACCACTCCCTTATCCCCCCTTCACTCTCCAGGAGCAGGGACCCCAGCAGCTGCAGCTGCCAAAGCTGCTGCCAAAGCTGCCCAGTTTGGTAAGTGCCCCTCACCCACTCCTGCCCCCACTCCTCATCAGAGAGCATTGCTCTGTCCCATTTCTGGCTCTGGGGTCTGTGGCTCAGCTCTCCTTGCCTCTCCAGTCTCCTCAGGCTTGACATTCTGGGGTGGCTTTCCATAGAAATTTTCACCCATCCGATGGCCTTTAGGAATGTGGGTGACACTCTGACTAGAGAAGCAGAGCAAGCCCCACAGGACCCATCTCTCCATTCCCAAAGGCCCTGGGGCCTCCTGTTCTAGCCAGGGCCTGCCCCTCCTCACCTCATGCTGTGCTCTGCTGGGTGGCTTCAGTAATTCTTAGTCCCCATCTCTTGCCATATTGAAGGACTGCCCTGGCAGCCCCAGGTACCCACACTTTCCTGAGTATGGAGCATCATCACAGCAGCCCATATGTTTGGGGGTCCATGCTTGGCCTTAGGGACCTGAGGGCAGAAAGACTCAGATCAGAATCTCTAAGGCTGAATGGCCAATGAACATCTTAACTACAGGTCCACTGAGCCCAAATTCTCATATGCAACCATCTGATGAAAGTGGTGTCATTATTCCCATTTTACAGATGTAGAAACTGAGGTTCCCAGAGCTTCCATAACTTGCCCAGTTATCCCACAGCTAAATGGTGGCTGAGCTGAGGTTTGTACTCAGGTCCTCCTGTCTTGCAAAGCTCCTTTTACTGCATAACTCTACCTCTATCACCCTCAAGTCTCCAAGGGGCTCTTGTCCCTGAAAAGGTTAAGAACTCCTAAATCTACACATACCTCACATTAGAGATGAGGAAGCTGAGGCCTGTCAAGGGAAGGTGACAGGCCCAAGGTCACACAGTAAGTCTGTGCAATGCCAGGACAAGAACCCAGGGCTCCAGCCCAGTGCTCTTTACATCGGCTTCTGTATTCTTTGGCTGGGCTTTGGGTAAGGATTAGCTATTCTCATTCTTATAGGGTTAGGGCCTGGTGTTGGTGTGGGTCCTGGTGTCGGCGTGGGTCCAGGTGTGGTTCCCGGCATTGGCTTCGGTCCTGGCGGTGTTGCAGGTAAGTAGCCTGAGGAGCTCCCAAAGCCTCCGTGGGCACCATCCTTGAACACCATCCCTGAATGTCCCCTCTCTCCCTCTAGGAGTAGGGACCCCAGCTGCAGCCAAATCTGCTGCTAAGGCCGCCGCCAAAGCCCAGCTCCGTGAGTGCCCTGCCCTCCTTCTCTACCCTCCCAGCCCCAAACACAGGCTGGGCCCAGGATATACAGCCTCTCAGACCCACTCATCCCGCAGGCAGCAGGCAGAGGGGTCAGAAGCACAGATTTGGCATGAAGGAGACCTGGGTTTGAGTTCTGGGCCTCACATTAGCCTAGTGACCTCTAAGTTACCCTGTTCTCATGTGCTAAGGGTGGGTGACAAGGGCACCATCTGCAGAAGACTGTTAGGAGATTGAAATGAGCTCATCCAAGGAGGAACAGCAGGAGATTAGTCCGGAAAGGAAGCAGTATCGACAGTGTGCAGTCGGATTGCTGGCCTGGGCTTGGTCAGGGGAGCTGCAGGAGAGCCATCCCAGCGGCAATAGAGAGGATGGATGGGGAAAGATCTGTAAATGGGGATGAGGCCGGGAGGAGGCCTCTGCCTGGGTCTGGGCCTCTTCCCCTGGGGCCTGGCTTAGCTCTGCAGGCAGGATACTTCCTCGGGGCCACGCTGCCTGCCTGCTGCCCCCACCCACTGCCTTCTCTCTGCAGGGGCCGCAGCTGGGCTTGATGCTGGTGTTCCAGGATTTGGAATAGGTGCTGGTGTTCCGGGATTTGGAGCTGGCGCTGGTGTTCCCGGCTTTGGGGCAGGTGCAGGTAAGGAATCTTCTGGGAGCCAGAAGAAACTATCCCTTGAGCTCAGGGGAAGGAGGCACCTATCCTCCCAGCACATCCTCGCATCCCCTCACCACTCAGGGGTGCATAGTGAACTCCCATTTAGGTTCTCCTGAACATTCAGAGACAACTAGGGTAACAGATGGAGAGAGAAGACCCAACGAGGCAAGGAGACCTCAGGCTTCCAGACTGCAGAGTAGCCACATCCTTGGTGGAGGTGTGGCAGGGCTCCAGACTAGGAAAAAGCTCATCCATCACCGAGGGAAGGCAAGGGTAGGGTAGCCCAGATCCTCTCAGCAGTGTGGCAAGGGGGCCACTAGGAACTCTCGTTCCTAACCGTATCGTTCCCAAGCCCCACTCTGTGCCCAGCCTCAGGCAGGCCATGCTGGGTGTAGAAGGGACAAAGGGGACAGATGAAAGGAGGAAATGCCCCCAAGGTAAGCTTGGCAGTGGCACAGTCAGACCCTGGAGCTCTGTGTCTGGCACTGTGAGCTCCTTCCTGCCCAGGAGCCATGGCTTCAGGACTGTGAGGAGGACAAAGAAGGGAGAGAGGGCTCCCTGAAGAAGGGAGCAGAACCCCTAGGCACAGAGCTCAGCTGCTGACACCCACTTTCCCCTTTCCCCAGTACCTGGCTCCCTGGCCGCAGCTAAGGCAGCCAAATATGGTAAGTGCACCCCACAACCGCCCTGCTTCCTTTGCTGCATGTCCCTGTCCCTGACAGCTCAGGGCTAGGGTGAGCAGGATAGAAAATGGTGATTTCTAGGACACGTTGATGACAGTTTACAGACCTGGCCCCTGCCCAGTAATTGACTATGGTGCCTCCAACCCCTACAACACTCAAAAATATACCTCACATTTCCAGACCCCTAGGGGCAATTTCACCAAGGTCCCCCAAATCCCAAAGACCCTGAGAGTTCCACAGGCCCTGGGTCCAAGGAGGGGCCAGGTCTGCCATTGGTGTGAGGGGACTGAGTGGCCTCTGCCTCCTCCCCAACACTCTGGCCCGAGCTGAGGAGTTGAGGCTCCTCTTCTGGGCGCCCCCAGCCATCTGCCTGCCTTCATGTTGGCATGACTGCGCCTGCCACGAGCCAGCCTTGAGGACGTGGCAGACCTGCCTCCTCTCCACTTGGCGCTCGAGCAGTCCTGCCTGGCCAGACCCACGCTGTCTGTGGCCCCTGCATTCCTGGCCTCCTGTGAGTGGGGTGGGAGGGGGAGCCTCTGCCAGAGATCCACCAACCAGGCCTGGCCGGTCCACTTGGGGCCAGTTTCCACCTCGGAAAATCCCAGCTTCCTCGGTCCCCACCCCCAGCAGCCCGGCCTCCCCTCCAGTTCACTGCTGGCTGCTCAGCCAGCTGAAGTCAGCAGACATTGCCAGGGAAACAAAGTGGTGTCATGTAGCAGAGCAGTGAGGAGTGTGGGCTCCCAAGCCACTTCCTGCCCATGGAACTCTGAGCACATTACTTAACTAGTGCTCTGCCTTGACCTTCTCATCTGCAAAATGGGGGTGATAACACTGCCTACCTCTCCTGTTGCAATGTATGACAAACAGACCAATATGTGGAAGCACCTAGGACTGCAAATGTCCCGTGGAGTGCCAACTGTAGATACTGTCACTACTGTTATTAGCTCTGTGCAGTCCAACCACTTAGAACTTGCAGAGTTCACAAGGATGTACCTTTTTTTCTCAAGTATCTGTAAGGTTAATAGGGTATCATCACCCCCTATAGGGACTATAGGGCTCAGATAGCTATAATGAGTAGAGAAACCAAGATTTGAACTGTATTCAAACCCAGGACTGTTAGAACCTGAAACAGGGCTGGGTGGTGGCTCACACCTATAATCCCAGCACCTGGGAGGCTGAGACAGGTGGATTGCCTAAGCTCACAAGATCGAGACCAGCCTAAGTCAGAGCAAGACCTCATCTCTAAAAATAGCAGTACGTTGTGGCAGGCACCTGTAGTCCCACCTACCTGGGAGGCTGAGGCAAGAGAATCGCTTAAACCCACAAGTTTGAGGTTGCTATGAGCTATGATACCATGGCATTCTACCAAGGGCAACAAAGTGAGACTCTGTCTCAAAAAAAAAAAAAAGAAAAAGAACCTGAAACTGTCCACACTTTAGTGCCACCTGAAGCTCCCAGCACCAGCACAAGAGAAGGAGAGGACCACTCTACCATGTCACAGATGGGAAGGCCAAGACCTAAGGGGTGGCGGGGGGGTCCCTTTCTCTGATTGCTAAGGGTAGAACCAGGACTCAGACTGAGGAGCTTAGGACTGGACTTTCTATCCCTTATTCTTCCCACTGGGTCATGTGGCCTCTGCCACTTGTCCATTTGTCTTGTGTTCCTGGAGCAAGAAAACCCCACACATACACACCCCCGTCCTTCAGAAATGGGGAATTGATTTATCCTCTCTCTGTAGGAGCAGGAGTCCCCGGGGCTCTTGCTGGAGCAGGTGTTCCAGGTGGTGTGGCAGGTGAGCTGAAACCCCAGGGTGGGCCAGTGGGGAGGGTGATCCATATAGTCCCTCTCCTGAGTTCCTCTGTACCCCCAGGAGCTGGACCTGCTGCTGCTGCTGCTGCTGCTGCTGCCAAAGCTGCTGCCAAAGCTGCCCAGTTTGGTGAGCACTTGCTGGAGACGGGATCTGCCACAAGACCCCAAGCATTTGGGGGGAGCTTCTGCCTAGTAACTCCATAAAATCAGATCCCCTGACCTGCCCCAGAGCCCCTCAGGGCCCAGTTCACCTCCTGGCCCCTCTGCAACCTGGAAGGCCCTAGGACCTCAGGCTCCACCTGTGTCCTGAGAGAACACCTCCACCATGCTGAACTCTAGTACCACTCTCTGGCAGGTGGGATTTAACAATCATCTCTCTCCACAGGCCTGGGGGGAGTCGGTGGGCTCGGAGCTGGAGGACTGGGAGTCGGGGGACTTGGTGTGGTTCCTGGTGCTGGGGCCTTTGGAGGTAAGAGCTACTCTGAAATCAGTGAGTGTAAGCAGTGTATGAAAGACAGAGACTTTCCTTCCCATGTCTGCCATGCCTTTGCTCAAACTGTCCCTCAGCCCAGCCCTGCCATGCCCCACCATAGCTGCTCCTGGGGAGGTGTGGGCCCCACTCTCCTCTCCAAACCCCAAAGGGTTCAGAGAGGGGCTAGAATAGGTGGGAGCCAGGGCTCCTCTCTCTCAACCCACCCACCCCTAAAGGTGAAGGTTAATTAGGAAAATGATGGTAATGCCCATTCTCTAAGAAGGAAATCAAAGCTTAGAGGGAATCACTTTACTTAAGACTGGGCCATCGTGGTGAGCCTTGTATGGACAGCCCCTCTCTTGGGTGGTCCTTGATGAGTCTCCCTGCCTCCCCTGGCCTGCAAGCCTCTTCCCCTGTGCTCCACAAGACTGCACACACTGTAGGAGCTTAGGAGCTTAATGATGACTTTTAGAACAATGGATATATGAAGGAGGGGAAGAGGGGGACAGGAGGCTGCGTCAAGGGTATAGAGACTGGTGAGCAGGTACAAAGAGGCCTGACTGGCAGGAGGTAGCACTCCAGAGCTCTCATGTGCCCTGTCTCCCCAGGTGTTTCCCCAGCTGCAGCTGCTAAAGCAGCCAAATATGGTGAGTGTCCCTGCATGGCTCTCCCCACACCCAGGCCCACCTCCATACCTACCCTATCCCTGCTTGGGCTCCGGCCCTACTCCCAGGAGCCCTGAAGTTCTTCTCCATGATATTCCTTACCCTAGAGCCCAACAGGGATTTCAGGGTCTCTTGCAGATGAGGGTGCCTTGTCCTGACCCCATCTGCCCTGTTCTCAGGTGCTGCTGGCCTTGGAGGTGTCCTAGGAGCTGCCAGGCAGTTCCCAGTTGGAGGTAGGGGCTTCAGCTCTATGAGGTCTCCCTATAGGAGGAGGCCTGGCTGCCTCCTGCCACACAGGGACACCAGATAGGAGCAAAGGGGCAAGCCACAGGGCTGGGGACAGTGCCAGGCTGAGCTCAGAGCTGAGGCCATAGGGCATCACACCTGGGTGCTAGGAGGAGATGCTCTGGGTTGAGAAAGTGGCTCTGGCTACAGTGGGGGATGGAGAGGAGAAAGCCCCAGAGAGAGAAGCCTGGGGAATCCAGTGGGCACTCACGCTGGCAGGAGGGGACAAGGCTGGAGCAGGGCTCACTCCCACCAAACCCAAATCTCTCCCACAGGAGTGGCAGCAAGACCTGGCTTTGGACTGTCTCCCATTTTCCCAGGTAGGCCAGACTCCCTGACCCTGGGCCCTGTTCTGCTGCTTTAGCCACATCCTGCCTCCTCCCCTACTCTGTCATCTGCTCAGAAAGGCTGAGCCAGCACCCAGAGATGGACCCCATGGCTTTGGGTCATGGGAGGCTGACACAATGGCCTCCCTCTCTTAGAAGAACAGAGACCTTCAGCTTTTCTAAAACACACATTTTATGCCTCTCAAGGTCCTTGGAGACAGAGAGCTCTCCCACTATGTCCAGATGAAATAAACTGCAGTTCAGGGTGTGCCAGGGAGCACTCCAAAGTCACTCAGAGGGAAAAGCAGAGCCTAGGGCTCCTGCACCTCACACCCCACCCTGGCCTCCATCCTGGCCTCAGGGTGGGCTCTTGCTGTCCAGGAGGGCTCAGCGGGCCCCCAGAAGTAGGAACACTCACAGCCCCTCTCCTTGCCTCATAGGTGGCGGTGCCGGGGGCCTGGGAGTTGGTGGTGAGTCTGCAACAAGAAGGCACCTGATGCCTGGAGGGGACTTGAGCTCCTTTCTGGGGTGGGGTGGGTTCTATTGAGGAAGTGGCTGATGTGGCCATGTCCCTGGGATGGCCCTCAGGTGCTGGGACTTGCAGAAGGCCCCAAGGGAATCGCAGAGGCTGAAGGGACAGATGGGCTCCCACCTAGTGCTTGACTAACAAAGAGTGGGACAGGGACCTAGGTCAACCCCAGGGTTCACAGTCTAACTGGAGGGATGGTTTAGGTCCCAAGAAAGGAAAATAGAGCATGTAAGGAAGAGTAGGTCGGGTGGGATGGGTGGGGGTCTCCAGAAGTCAGATGCACATGGCTGAGACTGGGAGGCACACTGGGGTCTGAATGGGGCTGGGGGTGCCCACTGAGCTTCTCCAGCACCACAGGCAGGAAGGAGCAGGCTGGAGGCAGGGCCCTTGGGAACCTGCTGAGACAGGACCCAGGTCAGGAACAGGGTAGGGGTGCCAGGAGAGGAGGCAAAACTCCACCCCCTTCCCAACCCCACTCTCCCCTCCACAGGAAAACCCCCCAAGCCCTATGGTGGGGCCCTAGGAGCCCTGGGATACCAAGGTGAGTACAGATTTGGCCCCTGAAAGAAACAGAGCAGGGGGAGGCTGGGACCACCAGTGTGGACCCAGGAAAGGGAGCACAGGCGAGGCCTGGCAGGCAGAGGGGAGGTAAAGGGCGCTGAACCTCTCCCACTCATCCTCTCAACCTCCAACACCGACATTCAGAGCTAGGAGCTGCTCCGGGTCAAGCCTGGCTGTCCCCCACTGAATGCCTTAACCTGCTGCTGCAGGGAGGAAACTGGGAAGAGAAGAAATGGGGTTCCAGAATCCTAAAGTCAGGGGAATCTAAGGGCATGGGGGTGTGTGGGAAACCAAGGCGCCCTGGGCTGTGCACAGAAGGCAGAGGTCACCCCCCGGGACTGAGCCACATTCTGGCTCAAAGGTTCAGACTCTCCTCTGGGGGAGTGTGTGGTCCGTGCTGTCAACCCCAAGGAGTTCCAAAGCACTGATAACTACGCCCCTATGGTTGCTCTGGACTGTGAATTCCCTTCTACCCGTCCCCCTCCCAAAAGCACAAATGAAGCAGCTGACAGTTGGGAGGGGCAGAGGCACGGCCAGACCCGCCCTTTCCTGGTTGTCCAGCTTACCATTGGGCGCCAGTCTTGCTTCTGGCCCCAATAGGAGCTTTCCAGAGACAGAGGCCGTCCCTGCATTACTCTCTACTAACTGCCACCAGATGGCGGTAATGAGCCACATCTGATCCAAGCAGGAGCAGGCAGTAACTACACTGGGCTCTGCCACGAAACAAAGGTGCCTTTCCTAACAGAGGTGGATGCCAACGAGACCTTCTCCAAGACAGGGCAGGAGTCCAGGGTCGAAACTCAGCCCAGCCACTGGCTTTGAGGATAAGATCTTCCCCTGCCAGGGCCTCCATTTACTTACACCATGCCCTCTAACTGGTCCAGGTTAGGTCCAGGTCCCTAATTCCCAGCAAGGGCCACCTCCTGCAGACACTGACTCTTCTTTCACCTCATCTTGCCTGACAGGGGGTGCTCTCAGCCCTTCCCTAAAAGGATCCCCATGTGCAGTGGGCACAAAGTGTGGACACTCCCAGGCCTGGTCCTTCCCCATCCCCACCCTGTCACCTGGCCCCTTGCCCTCTCTGGGCCTTGGTTTCATCAATGACATCTTGGAGCCTGTCCCAGCCCATCTGCCTAGTGGGAGCTGGTACAATAGACAGGGTCAGAGCTCAGCCTGGGGCCATGGCCTGACTTCTCATGGCTTCTTGGAACCTCTGCCTAAGTGGGACAGAGTGGCCAGGAGCTTGAGCTTCAACTGAGAAGGGCCAGACTGACCATTATGTGTGCCTCCTCCATCCAGGTGGGGCCTGCCTGGGGAAGTCCTGTGGCCGGAAGAGAAAGTGAGCTTCCCCCGACCCCTGACTTGCGACCTCATCAACTTTGGTGCTACTGCTTGGTGGAGAATGTAAACCCTTTGTCACCCCACCCCATGGCCCCCCAATCCCCACCCCAGGAAGGAACGGGCAGGCCGGGCGGCCATGGAAATCCACAGGACAAGGAAACAAGAGAACAGTGGCCAAGGGCCCTGACTGGGAAACCCCCCACTTCAGAGGTGGGGGGTGGGCCTGGCCCCCTGTCCTGTCCCTTCCCCATCCCACCCAGGAGCTCCCCCTCAACACACAGCCTCCATCTCCAGGGGAACTTGGTGCTACATGCCGGTGCTCCCATCCTCCTGGGGGAGGGAGGAGGGTAGGGCAGCCCCTTGGGGAACCCCCTCCCTGGGGCTCCTTTGAAGATGGTGCAGACACTTCTTGGGCAGTCCACTTCCCCCTGCCCACCAGGACCCACCCTTGCCTGGCTGCGGTCCAGTTGGTACCCAAGCACCTTAAGCCTCAAAGCTGGATTCGGTCACATCATCCCTCCTCTTAATGGTTCACCTCATCCTCCCTCCCCAACTAATTGCTGTTCCCTACATCTGGGGCACCTTCAGGTGGGAAAACCACCCCCTGCTGGAAGTAACCCCCTTGCTCTTGTGGAGTCCGTCCACCCATCCGCCCATTCACCCATCTGCCCATCCGTCCATCTGTCCATCCATCCATCCTTGTCCCCATTTGACTGCCCGTCACCACTAGCTGGCTGGGCACACCCGCCATCAACCCCTCCAACCACTTCCCTCACTCTCGCCCAGGGTGTGCAGGGCTGTGGAGGGGGGCAGGCATCTCTCCCTACCCGGGGTCTCCCCACACGCAGTACTGTATCCCCATCCCTCCCTCAAGCCACTGTCCTTCAGAGTGGCTCCATCCCTGCCCCGCCATCTCTTTGTGTCTCGCTGTGATAGATCAATAAATATTTTATTTTTTGTCCTGGATATTGAGGAATTATTTTTGATTGTTGATGTTCTCCTTTTGGTTTTATTGTTGTGGTTAATTGGGGGAAATTTTTTTTTCTGATTGAGGGAGCTGTATCTCCAGTAGAAAATTTATCTTAATCACTTTGGTATAACTTGGGATGAAACACACCTTTTTGTAAAAAATAGAAAATTAACTGCTTCTGAAAAGACTAATAAATGAAAACCTTTTAAAGAAAACTGTGCATTGGCCTTCTTTGTCCACTTCCATCTGCCATCAGCTCATCCACCACCCACGGTGTCTTTGGGAGGCTACTAAACAAATGTAGCAGGCTGGCTTATGGGACTTGAGATGATTCTCCAAGTCTGGCTTGTCTTTTAACAATGGAGGTGGATGCTTCCACCCTCAGCACCTACCGACAGTCCTTGAGCACAGGCCTCTGAACACTGAAGGTACAGCCAGAAGGATAGAGGAGATGAAGTGGACCCTTCTGTCCAGACAGAGCCCTCATCCTTAGTGAACAGCTACGTAGAAAAGAAAAGCATGTCTGACTTAAGAAAATTCAGAAAACAATCAAAGGTCACTTATTTCCCTCTGAAATAGTCCCCTCTAAAGAAGACCCACCCCCACCCATGGCCTATATTGTCACCACTTTACTCTTCTGTAAATGATAAGAAATGACATCCTATAGGTGGCACCAGTGAACTCAGCACCCTCCTTCCATACACCCATTCCCAGAGCCCATCCTCCTTGTCCTTGGGAACAGAAACCCACAGAGCCTGGGAACATGCCCACTTGGAGCCCACAAGTCTCTCTCTGAACCACACTCTGGGTACCAGATTCTGAAATTCACTCCTCAAACCACTGGGCCTCCTTCCAGGGCTCACATGCCTGTGTCCTTCCTCCTGAGAATGGCCCCTATTGCCTGTGTGTATACCTCCAAGCAAGAAGGTGGCCAGGGAGCTATTGGTTGGGAGTTTGGGTGGACTTACCATGCAGATGGGAGTATCTGTATCTGCACACAAGGACCCTCACAATGTCAGGAGTTGGGATGGAGACAGCCATGGGTGTGACACTCAGATAGAGCTTCTGTTAGGATAGAGAGAGAAAGTCAGGGTGTGACACTCAGGAAGTTTCCCAGAGGATAGGAACGGACAAGGAATAGAGTGGGAGGAGGGCTGGACCCCACAGGGAGGGGACAGGACAACCAGGGCTCCTGGTGAATGGGGACAGCACTGAGGAGATATGGAGGGTGGATTGGGAGGGCTGTGGGGTGTGGCTCATGGAAATGCACAAAGGGCTGCTGTAATGATCCAAGGAGGGATGACACAGCCTGCCTTAGGGCAGTGGCAAAGGGGGATCCAATCATCCATCCATTCACTTCCTCCTTCAACAAAAATATCCTTTGCTAGTTCCTCCTCAGTTCTCTGGCCTCCAAAAGCTGAATGCAAGCCCCAGCATTCAGCCCTGGAGACGCTCTGTCTTGACTTCTCATAGTTCATGGCTTTAAATACCACCCAGGCACTGGCAGCTCCCAATTGACATCGCCAGCACAGACCTTTGCCCTGAGCCCAGGACTTGTACATCTAAGACCAAATCTAACGTCTCCACTTTGAAATCCCATAGACATGGCCTAGGCAGCATAGACCCCAACACCACCTCCCTCGCTGCCTTTCCCATCTCAGCAAAGGGCAGCCCCACTCTTCCAGCAGCTCAGGAAGCAACTCCAGTGCCATTTCTGCTCCCCCAAGCAGATCCACCAGCAGATCCCACAGCAGCACCACCTTCAGAACACATCCAGGGTCCAACCACTTCTCACCACCTCAGGGCTGTGCTGTGGTCCCCCAGCATCTCCTGCCAGGATCATGGAAAACAGCTCCCCGACCCAGCTTCCTGGCTCCCCTTCTGCTTTCTCTCCGCCCAGCAGCCAAAGCAATTCTTACAAGACATATGTATGCATCTGCTTAAAATCCTGCAAGGGCTCCCTGTGTCACTCAGAGCCAAAGCCAGAGCCTTTCAGAGCCAAGAACCCCTACCTGCGTGGCACCAGCAGTTCTGACCTCACATCCTACTGCTCAGCCCTCCAGCCCTCTGGCATCCCGTGTGGTCCCCTGGCCCTCTTTTCCTTTAGCACAGCAGGTTGCTCCACTGCTGGTTGTCACATCTGCTGTCTCTTCTACTCGGAGCATTCTTCCCTCAGCCGTCAGTGCTCCTGCCTCCCTCACCTGCTTCAGGTCTCAAATCAAGTGCCACCTTCTCAGACCCCTTTCTAAACCTGCAAACTGTGCCTTCCTCCTCTGCCCAGCCCTCCCTCACTTGTTCCTGCCTTCTTTCTCTCCAGAGCACCTGTCACTATGCAGCAAACCATATTTTTCTTCTTTGGTTACTGTGACTCCCTACACCATACCATGATGCCCTTAACATGGGCACTTTTTTTTTTTTTTTTA